TCAGCAGGAGAAGAGTGGCTGAATGAATCAGGACTTCAAATTCCCATTTCATCTGTTGCCTACAAACAAGTATATTAATGCTTTTTTTTCATGAAATACTTAATTTAATGGCCTATTTCATAGCTGAGGTCAGAACTAGCATTTCTATTCTGCCGCTAGAGCCAATTTCCTCAAAACTTTTGTTAGCACTGTGAAAAAAGCTTTAATCTCTTTGTTGTTCTCAAGAACCTTCCATCAATTTCTGTTCCACTAAGGCTTTTACATGAATAAGAATATAGAAGGTCTCTATACCATTAAAAAAATACATAATTCACTCTTTTGCTTTTAAGAAGGGAAGCAACATCCTTCTGTTAGAAAAAAGCACTGTTTCAACCAGTGAAATCAGGACCTTAAATTCATTTCTTCAGTAACAGCAAAAGCACTGTAAAAGAAGATCTCTGCTAGTAAGTGATCAAATTAGTCACACCAGCAGGGGCTTCATGGCAGGATTCTACAAAAGAAGTCTCTGAAATACTGTATAGAGTTTTTCTCAAATGAGAACTAAACACTAGGAATGCTGGTCTTAATTTTATATTTGCTTAAGAAGCCATCTGATTTTGTGTCTTCAGTGGCTTTGGGACACATTTCCAATAGCGCAGAAGCGACTTAGAAACCTGCCGTACAGAAAGTTGATGAAATCCAGGCTTCCAAAGTCTAGGTCATCTTCAAAATGCAACAAAATGTTCCTATGAAACTTCTGAAAATTTTACATATTAATTTATTTAACTGGTCTCAAAGCTTCCTTCTCATCTTTCATATTTGGAGATTATTTTGTTCAGTCTGGAACCATAATTAAAAATACTTACAGGAAACATACATGTTACTGGAGATGTAGCCATACAATACGTTACTAAGTCTTCACATGCTTCCTGAGTAGTTCATTGTAATTACCTCCTAAAAGGAGGGAATTTTCTCAAAGTTCACATCAGTATCTAGGAGAGCAAAATCTGATCCAGTCTGGATCATTATATCACGTGTTTTACAAAAACAGTTTTGGAATACATACCTCTAGATTTCAACAAAAGAAGATGGACTTAAGACATTTCTTTTAATAGAATTGAAGGTTTCACAAAACTAGAGATACTACCTGGAACATTCCATAGTTGTTGCAAATCTGAATCATGTTTTTTGGTAGGGGATAAAACCACATTATAATGATATGGCTCGTGCTCTAGAAATTTTGTTTTTGCTCTCAGCAGATGGACCATATGGAAAAATGCGAACTCGCTACTAGGCAGAAATACGAAGAGCAAGTACCATATTTCAGGCATTCTGTTTCCACAGGCGCGTTCTGGTATAAGATTTAGTTTCTCAGAACAATGAAGGCAGCGTGTCCTTGATAGATATTTATTTTAATTAACACTGGAATATTAGAATTAAAAGCGTATATCTGTATTTTTTACTCACCCAGAAAAGAACCCTATTTTTTTTCGCTTCCGTTTCCTAGCATACCCACTTGCAAGCACTCATCCTTTCATTTCTTGTGTTGCGATATGGCTTCTTGTTTTGCTGTAGTACATACAGCTTCAGTGCTGGCAAGTATTGGAAAGCATACCAGAAGGCCTACACAATAACTGTGGCCGTGACTGTCGTCAGGATAAGAATCCTTTTCCGCTGCCTTACTGTAAATGAGATTCATTCTCTCTGATTTTACAGTGCTGATGGTTTTTCCAGATAGGTCTTGGGCAACTCAGAATGATGCATATCTGCCAAATTTGGAAGTTGCCTTTTCTTTCAACTTCGGGCCCAGACTTAAAGGTTGTTTCTTGTCCATAAAAGGGCAAAAATCCCCACTCCGCTCAAATGTTTGTGAAACATTTCATTGGAAAGAGTTAGCCAAACCGTAACAGCAAAGAGCAAATACTCCCAGACCCTGAATTAAAAAAAAAAGTCCCAAAACACCGTGAAAAAAAGGTATCTCCGAAGCCGTCAAGGCAACACTAATTAGTAGGAAGTCTGCTATACGCTCAGCTCTGCTGCCTTGAGATGATCTGAGGGGTGTTTGGACTGGAAGTGGAAACAGGGAGGCAGGCTCTGGTACATGCCCGGGAGAGCTGTATCAAACGGCTCATCTTGTACTGATGGGTTGCAAAGAGCATGTAAATTTAACATAACTCTTTCTTTTCTCTTCCCCTCTCTCTCTCTCTTTCTCCCCTCCTCCCCTGTCTAAATCCAACCCACTGGAGCCAGCAACTTTTCCATATTCAAATTAGCTAAAAATGATTCTAAAATGAATGAAATATTCATGATTTCAGCAGCAGAGTAGTCTGTGAAAAACCAAAGCAAAACAAACCTCATAAAGTGCAGGTAAGATCCTTCTATAATAAAGAAATCGCACAAGTAAAGCAGAACTTTGCACGTTTTTATAATTAACACCAGGGCAGTGCAGTCTATGCCTTCCTGCCCTAATAAAAGCATCAAAGACCTTCCTCCTTCTTGCCACTCAGAGTCTCCTTCGCAGTTACTGGAGTTTGATTTTTGCTCTTAGAAGACTGAAAATCTATGCCGTTACAGCAAACTACTTGCTCTGCTGACCACCACCTCTTGTCTGTCCGAAAAACAGCACACCCTCATGTAAGGGACCCCTTTCAGTTGAGTCCTGCTAGGTCCCAAGAGCATTTCTGAAGGTGCTAAATGCTGAGCTCCCTCTCAAGTCAGAGAGAACCACTAACTTACCAAGACCAGGTCAGCGCCAGAGGTAAATGCAATATCACGTGCTAACAGGTAGGGGGGTATAAGGCAGAGTCTTAGTTCTGAATGGATCTTCTCCAACCTAATGGACTGTTGTAACAGCCTGCCTCCGAGCAGGGCAAGATTTGAGAAAGGTGCACAGACGCACACTTATGACCAAAACCGTGCTTATACGATTTCCTGAATCAAAATCCTTGTACAAAATGGTAGCCTCCACCGATTAACTTGCTATTCATTGTTTTTTACACATTTAACACAGCAGTAGCAACTCCAGTTGTGAATCCAGTCGCATCAGAAAGCAGATAATTACTTACTAGAGCAGATGATAAAAATAATCACAGTTTTTTATATATAAAGGGTACTTCTCCAAAACCATTATTTCAACTTTTTTTCCTATTTGATGTATATTTAGTTTACAATATCTATTTCCTTTTCTCGTTACTTCATGCTATATAAACATGTTACATCAGGCTACATAAAGTTTACTTGCTTCACCTCTGCTGTGCATAACATATATGACACAGAGGTCATTTTTGGCAGGTTATTTTCATATCCACAAACATAAGAAGGAAGAAATATATAATGCAATTAAGTGTGGAAGAAGAAATTGCTCAGGTATCCCTTTTTTTAAAAAAAAAAGCACTTATGAAACATCGCGGCTCCACCAAAGTAGGCAAATAAGATTTCTTACCTGCACAGGTATCTTGGGGGGTTTGGGAGGTCTTTAACCATGTAACACTCTCCCCCATTTACACAGAAGGCTTTCTGCTTTATGTCACATTTTGTGAGATGACTTGTCCCAGTTGTAGATGTAGAAGTGGCTGGAAAAGACAAGAACGAGAATACAGATCAGAATGGTCTACGTTTTCTTTCCTGAATCGTCTTTGGATTTTAAAGTAAGTATATGCACGTGCAAGTGGAGAGGTATGGGGCAGGGAGGATCTGACAAGTCCTGTGAGTGCTCTGCCAGCTGCCACCACGAGCATTAACTACCGAGCACTGTTTGGTTGACTGACACAGGGAGTGGAGCATAAATGAGCACCTCAGAGATATGCTATCCCACATCCCCACTAGGAGAAAGGAAGGTTTCCGCTATCCCCAGTCCATGAAGCAACCTTAAATTTCTACTGAACTCCGGTGTATTTCATTAAAAGGGTGGTGTAATTTTTCTGCAGTTCCTTAAATTGCCTTCCTCCTTCAAGGTTTTTTTTTTTTTTTGTGCGCATGAGCTTCATTACAGACTGCTGTGCAGCATCTGTGTAGTGCCTAATAAAACGAGGCCCTGGATAAGGTGGCTTCCTGGCATTGCCACGGAGTAGGTGTTTTTCAGTGATGCTGAACTGGTGACCCAACGCTGAATCCACCCCTTGGGCTGCCACTGTCCAGCCACTGCCTTTTTCCTGGAGGAGTGGGTGAGAAGCTGAATGCTCCTCCCTCTGCTTTTGGATGGCCTGGCACAGAGGTGCTGCCTCTCTGATTCGACTCTACGCAAGGGAGGGAAAGGACAAGGGGCTAGAGGCACCGCCCCTTCCTGTGCACATACAGCCTGGAGCAGGGCTGCCACCACCACGTTCATCTCAATGCCGATTATAGAGCAAGCTTAAGTTGGCAAGAACATGCCCCTAATTTTCATGTGGCAAAAATTAAGTGAAATGTCTTTAAAAGGGAGGGACTGTAGCCTTATGGTCTTTGGGAAGCCGTCTCAAGACCTGCTGAAGAATTAAGAAATTTTGTTACAGTGCTGAACAAACACTATTTTTATTTCTGAAAGGTGAACTCCTGCTCTGAGGGAGAACAATTGGTCTCTCTACTGACTAGTTCCACCAGAGGTGATGAGACAGCTGAAAGCATCTACCCGAAACTTCTCCGATAGTTAAAGCCTTTTATAACATAAAGGCACCCAAGGGGCACGTTTCTAATAAGCAAAGTGTGATTTTCCCTACCATTTGTTGCACAAGTTGAATCCGAGGAAAAGGCCCTTTTCTCCAAATCAGCTATTAACAAGTACAACCCGTACATTTCAAATTCTTCTTTCTGAGGATATAGATGAGGTAGTCCCAGTTGCATCTGACTTCCATGTCATCACCTTCCAAGTAAAACTGCCTTTATAGCACAAAGCGCTTGGGAAAATAGGCCACCTTGGCTGACGGCACTTTCAGAATGGTTTGAGCTACCTTCTCTCATGGAGACAAGAGAGAGTGCGCGGAATATATCCACTCCTCTTTGCTCCATCAAAATCCCATCTGTCTGTACAGCTAATGTGCCTCTCAGGTCCCTTCCTTATTTTCCAGTGGTCATCAGCATGCCAACTTCTTTTTCTTCTTCTATGATATCTTGTTTGCCTGCAGTGACCTCCCTCAACAGGCCAAGAAAATCACTCCTCTGACCCCTTCGAGAACTCAGGACCCCTCCACTTCCCACCACTCACTGCGTCACGTCTCACCAGATCCTGATCCTGACTGAGGCCTCCACGCGCTAATGAAATGCAAACAAGGAGTACTAATTTGTTGTAATAACTCATTCCTTTCTCCTGGCCCCTCAAAGCATGAGTTATAACCTCTTGGACTGGGATAAATTTATGCCTTGTCTAGACACAGGAAGAGAGGTCATGTTTTAAAAGTAGTCTGACCCTCTCCCAGCTAGCACCAGTCCAAGCAGGACTTTGCACCCAGTGTTGACAGAAGGCTGGCCAAGAGATTGCCATCAGCTCAGGGGTGAAGGGTGGTCTGAGCTTCATGTAACTGGACTGACTGCCATCTTCGACACTAATCTTAAAATGGGGCGACTTGCCTTCTGGAAGAGACTTTCCTTCTCCATCAACCTACAAGATTAGTAGCTTGTACGTTAGTCGATTAATACCTGCCTGATGTGACATAACAGGACACAAGCCTGTTACATAATACGCCCTAAGATAAAAACTGGATGAGTGAATCCCATCTATAGTAATATGCATTTTGAAGCATTGGTGAGTCTTAACAGGTAACCTCACTTTAAAGCTTGTCTCTGGTGACAGCCTGACTATCTCCTATCGTCTCCTTTTACCTCATTAGAAGACTTCTTCCTGCAACTCAACCCAGTGTTCTGAGGGTGTCCTAGACCTCAGAAAGCTAATGCATTAATCGTGGGAGGGAGAAAAAAAAAAAAAGAAATAACGTCTGCTGAGCTTCTGCCAAAAAAACATATTACCGCCATGCTGGCTAATGGAATGTTTCAAATTGAGTTATAAAGGTAGCTGTAGTAACAACAGGGCTTGTAGCTATCTATAATTGTTTTGGTCTTCTTGCTTACTGCTTTTCCGTTAAGCAGCAGCTCAATCAAAAGCAGATCACCATGGAGTTTCAAAGTAACAGTTATTTCCCAGCTGATGTAAGCGAGCTTTGGATAGCAGCAATTGCTCTGAACTGATTACTAGAGATGGGAATAATCTGTAGCTCTCAGAGAGATCCCATGATATAAGGGCTTTACGCATATTTGGGAGGAGTGCCCCTTCCCTTCGTTTTTGGCATCACATGTTCAAAACTGTCCTATAAATCTTGCAGGAGAATTTTCTCTGCATTACTGGCACTGTAGTCCCAATCTGTCTGAGCTTTGTAAACTGCATGGGGCTAGGGGAGGGAAAAAAGTCTCCAGTGATTTAATTCTGGTATTAGTTTTTCCTTGCAAAAGATGCATAGTTTTTTATGGCCTAAGGCCAGTATTCATTCTATGAACTGTAAGTGTATTTTGCAAATTAAGTACAAGAAACACTAACTGTGGTTTTGGGTTTCCGTTAAAGCCACATAACGGAAGAAATGTGGTGGTTGAGAGCAGGTGTTCATCAGAGCCCATTTCACTCAGCCCATAACTAGCCCCAAAACACTGGTTTTCCATACTGCTTTCGCGCAGGGGGGATAGGAAGATGTGTAGTGGGAATGAGCAGCAATGGTGAGGTAAAGCACAGCTGTAGGCAGTGTGTCTCTGCATTGCTCTTTATTCACCTAACCAAAATTCGCACCTCCTTTCTCTTCTGTAATGTTTCCTTCAGCTATACAAGCACAAGACAGCAAAGCTGGTATGTTCTGCATTTCTCTACCAAACTTCTAACTTACTGAAAGGATAAATCACATGCTATAACGCAATTTGAAAATGTCATGCATAAGATGATGTTTAAAAACTCTGCATGCTCCACTTTTTTTTCTCCGAACGCAGAAGCCTCAGTTCTCTTGCAAACAACTGCAGGTAGCATGAACAAACAAAGTGCCCACTAATGCAAGTATTCACGAGGCAGTGCAAGACAGTGCAACCCGCTCCCTTCTAAGGGAACTGCTCGAACACTTTAAGAAAAACAGGAATACGAATTATAGCAGCTTTCAAACACTACTCTCTCAAATATGAATTATTGCTGTAAAACTTCCTTAAGACTATCTCGTCCCAGGCGGCCACAGCCGTTTCACGTAATTCTGAGCTTACCTGCGGGATCTCTGACCCGTTTTTGTCCTGAAACAGGGAAATGCATTATCTTCCTCTCTCTTGCTTTCCAAAGGAAACCTTTGAAATACAGCAGCTACAACAGCAGGACTCCCAGGCCCTGAAAGGTGAGTCAGTCTGCTGAGAGGAGTCCCGTGGGATCTGTGGGTACGGACTGAGAGGGACGGGCTTTGCAACCTAAACTAAATAGTATCCGTGCCTCTTTGAACAGAGCTTCTGCAAACGTTAGTGTAAAATCAGAGGGCACGCTCATACCCACGGAAGGTGACTAGTGAGATGCTGATGACCGAAAGGAGACAAAGTTAAGCAGAAGCTGCAGCACGAAGGGAGGTTTGCTGTCCTCACCAGAAGGCCACTCACAGGATATGAATGTGTCCGCTTTTGGATCGAGACCTTTCAAGTCTCCTTTTGTGAACGGAAGGAGAACTGGCGTTACTGAGTCTGCATTCCCTCACGTGAAGCTCATCCATGCCTTTAAACGCACAAGCTGATTCCCTATTGACTTGCTCATGGGCAACTTAAAGAACTGTCCAGCCCTGATCTGCAGGGAAGAGTGATTTTCCATGAAACCTTGGCTGTAGCACTTAATCCCTCTGTGTCTCAGTTAAGCCATTTACATTTTCATCCCACTGAGTACTGAGCCTCTCCAAATCACTCTGACCTCCCTGGTGAGCCTAACTTGCAGACCAGGCGTGGAGAGGTACCTGTGTCTGCAGAAAAGCTTTCTGTGCTGCGCTGGACGAGTAAAGCAACACAGGTAGCAAAAGCTATAAGGGTGTCTTCAATGAGAACCAAAGCCAAAACTAAGAGCAGTCAGATACTCTCTCCTTCCTGTACAGAGAAGAATTTCCATTTCACCACTCACATAGATGGACACGTTTCATGTCCTTCATGCTTAATGGTTCCAGAGCTGGAATAGCATCCATTAGGTCTGAACATACCAAGATTTTAAAAAAGAGCAACAACAAAACCTTGGCGAAAAAAACTCAAATCTTTTAACAGGCATTTATGGTCTATTTCATCAGGTTGCTCACATTTTTTTTTTTTTTTCATTGCTTTGGTGGTGTAATACAATTAATTGGCTGGTTAGGTATTCAGTCTAGTTAGGTATTTTTTTAGACTGAGTCTTGACAAATAATGTGCAGTATGACAGATTCCTGGGACCTTCAGATGAGAAGATCATTTAAGGAGCCTCCTGTTTTGCCAGAAGCTGGAATCAAGTGCTCACAAGTTAGGAGAATTATTCTTTGGCTTTAAGACAATGCTCCTCTTGCTTTGGCACTATCTCTACAGAGATCAGGGCCAGCAAGAAGGAAGCAGGAAACCGCTGGGTCTGCGAGATAGAAACTTCAGG